TACTGTCCTCTGCTACGAGAGGAGACAAGAAGTGTGGTGAGCAGACGCATGGACCTTCATCAGACAGTAAATTGGCCCATACCCTGTTCTTGGGCTTGACAGCTTCAGAACTGTGAGGAAGAGATTTGTTTGTGAGCTCCCCAGTTCATGGTATTTTGCTATAGTAGGCCAAAAGAACTCAGATTGCTCACTCCCCTGTGTATAAGCCTTGCTTTGAAGAAATTTGCCAATTTCCAGTGAGTAAAAATCTGCATAATGCTTGCAGTAGTTTGAAAGAAAATGGTCCCCATAGGGAGTGGTGCTATTAGAAGGTGTGGCTTTGTTGGAGTAGGTGTGCTCTTGTTGGAGGAGGTGGGTCACTGTGGGGGCGGGTTTTGAGGTCTCCTATGCTTAAGCTACTCTCGGTGTGTGGCACACAGACTCCTCTGCTGCCTGCAGATCAAAATGTAGAACTCTCAGCTCCTTCTCCAGCACTGTTTGCCGCCATGTCCCACCAGGATGATATGGACTAAACCTCTGAAACTGTAAGCCAGCCCCAATTAAATGTTTTCCTTAGTAAGAGTTGCCATGGTCATGGTGTCTCTTCACAGCAATAGACACCCTAACTAAGACAATGCCTTATTTCAAGCTACAAGCTTTCTCATTGAACACAGAATTTTAAAGAGATATTGTACCAAATCATTATGGATCTGGTCACCCAGAGAATGGAGTCTAGCCTGTCCAGTGTGTTCTTAAAAGTGGCTTTTATATCTGTGGCTACTGGCTCCACTCACTTTAGCTTCCCAACATGGCGGTGGTATGTTTTCCGCCAGCTCTGGGAGCTATCAACTCTCAGAAATAGTGGGTCTATGCTTCTATCAAAGCAGCGTGTAGCCCAGAAATCTCTTTTTTTTTTGTTTTGTACTAGCAAAGGCTAAATCCACCATGCAGCTTAATGTGCCACTTGCAGAGGCCTCATTCCCGCCATACTGCAGGTCTAGCGTGCACGCCAGGAACCCGCCCATAGTAGCTCAAACACTCAGGCTGCCGCTAACTTGAGAGAGACAACTAGGAACTGTTTTTAGCTCCATTTTAGAATCTTTTCTCTCAGGTTTTAGGTGGAAACTCTTGCCAACACGTTGGGCGCCATTTGTAGCTAGAATTTTTCTGCCTGGCCCATAGTCAGGACAAATCTCTGTCACCCACCAGTCCCACAGCCGCTCAGACCCAACCAAGTAAACACAGAGACTTATATTGCTTACAAACTGTATGGCCATGGCAGGCTTCTTGCTAACTGTTCTTATAGCTTAAACTAATCCATTTCTATAAATCTATACCTTGCCACATGGCTCGTGGCTTACCGGCATTTTCACATGCTGCTTGTCATGGCGGCAGCGGCTGGTAGTGTCTCTCTCACTCAGTCTTCCACTTCCCAGAATCCTCTTCTCTGCTTGTCCCGCCTATCCTTCCTGCCTGGCTACTGACCAATCAGTGTTTTATTTACTAACCAATCAGAGCAACATATTTGACATACAGAACATCCCACAGCATTTATCTATCTATCCATTATCTATCTATCTATCTATCTATCTACCTATCTATCTATCTATCTATCTTACTAAATAGAAAGGATAAAAATATAGTGTGCATAAATGCTGTGGATATGTTTTGTATGCTGTGAAAGTGTTGCTCAGATTGGTTGATAAATAAAATGCTGATTGGCCAGTAGCCAGGCAGGAAGTATAGGCGGGACAAGCAGAGAGGAGAATTCTGGGAAGTGGAAGACTGAGTCAGGAGTCACTGCCAGCTGCCACCATGAGAAACAAGATGTGAAGGCAGAACTGGGAAAAGGTACCAAGCCATGTGGCTAAACATATATAAGAATTATGGGTTAATTTAAGTGTAAGAGCTAGTCAGTAATAAGCTTGAGCAAATGGCCATACAGTTCATAAATAATATAAGCCTCTGTGTGTTTACTTGGGTCCAAGCGGCTACGGGACTGGCAGGTGAGAGAGATTTGTCCTGACCACTGGCAGGCTGGGACACAGGAAAATGTCAGCTATACATAAATAAAAGGAAAACATAGAAATGATTTTTTTAAAAAATAAAATAAACACATCATGTCAGAAATAATAGTGTTATTTATACCATTACACTAACTCACAAAATGTTAACTGTTATGGCAAAGAGATAACAAAAATACAGAATTAAATGTTAAAAAGACTATTATTACTAGGGTACATGAGATGGTAATGAGGGTGAAGTTTTTTATATATGTTAAAATACTGTGATTTGGGTGGGCCTACCATGATGCATCCTTCTCCCCAACTCGATTCTCTCTTTATTAATGGCACAGTTAACTAACTTTCCATTCAAGCAATAAATGTGGGCATCACCACTACTTCTCAGATCCTGACTTCCCCATTTACATTTGGATGTAAGATTCTAAATTTCCCATTTCCCAGCTGTCTTCTTGGCTCTCATCTCTATTCACACCCTGACAAGTATGGCATGAACTTTCCTAGTGATTTAATGTCTCTGACTGGAACTTCAATCTCTTTTACAGACTGATTTCTCAAGAGTATATGCAGACTTTGAAGCCAGACAACCCTGGGTTTGAACCACGCCATTAATTACTAGCTGTATGACCATAAAATTATTTAATGTTTGTGTTTTCTTTTGTGTGTGTGGTGCAGTCTATGTATGAGTGTGAATGTTTAAGTATGGAGGCCAGCAGTTGATTTTGGAGGGGGTCTTCCTCAATCACTCATCATGCTCCACCTTTTTGTTTTTGTTTTTTTTTTTTTTGGTTTTTCAAGACAGGGTTTCTCTGTGTAGCTTTGCGCCTTTCCTGGAACTTACTTGGCAGTCCAGGCTGGCCTCGAACTCACAGAGATCCGCCTGCCTCTGCCTCCCGAGTGCTGGGATTAAAGGCGTGAGCCACCACCGCCCGGCCTTTTTTTTTTTTTTTTTTTTTTTTTTTGGCTTTTTGTTTTTTGAAAGAACATTTTGAAAAAAATATTGTAAAGAAATGATTACAAACTTATTTGCATATATAGGAAATCTTATATGTATGTTACAAAGACACTTGACCTGAACTCATTTTGTTCCTTTGTCTCAGATATTTATCCAGAAGGCTTACGTATTAAGCAATTATAGAAGATCATTTTGTTCATGGTTTTCAGACAGGGTCTCTCACTGTGATGGCTAATCTTGGTTGTTATCACACCGTGGCAGGGAACCCTGAACTCAAGAATGGCCTTCATCAGATTGGCCTTAGGGCCTGTCTGTGGGGGCATTTTCTAGATTGCTGGTGGATGTGGGAGGCCAAGCCCAGCCCACTGTGAGCAGTACAATTCTCAGGCATGTGGGGCTGGGCTGCATAGGAAACAGAATGTAGCTGAGGGGCTGGAGAGATGGCTCAGTGGTTGCTTTTGCAGCCGACCAATGTTTGGTTATCAGCACCCACCTGGTGACTCAATGACTCACACGACTACAGTTCCAGGGACTCCAAAGCAGTCTTCTGGTGAGTGACTGTGGGTACCAGGGGCTCACGTGGTGCACATAATACATGCAGGCAAAACACTCATACACATAAAACTTTTTTTTTCTCCCCGTGACAGGGTTTCTCTGTGTAGCTTTGGAGCCTGTCCTGGAACTCGCTCTGTAGACCAGGCTGGCCTTGGAACTCACAGAGATCCTCCTGCCTCTCGAGTGCTGGGATTAAAGGCTCAAGTCACCACCACCCGGCCAATAAAATGGTTTTTATAAAGGCCTCTGAAATAGAGCCTGGAAATGAATCAGAAAGCAGCAATTCTCCGTGGTTTCTACTTCAAACTCCTGCCTTGAGTTCCTTCCGTGGCTTCCTGAAGTGATGGACTGTAAATTGGAAGATGAAAAAAACTCTTTCCTTCCCAAGTTGCTTTTGCTCATGGTGTTTATGACAGCAACAAGAAACTAAGAGGGACAGTCACAGAACCTGGAGCTCCTAGATTTGGCTAGTGTGGCTGATCAACGAGCACCAGGTATTTGCCTGTCCTCACCTCGGGGCACACAGTCAGGCTTTTCATGTTGGTGCTGAGGATTTGAGCTCAGCACTTTCCCAAATGAGCTATTTCTCCATCTTAACCTTTGTGTTTTTCAATCTGGGTTCCACACCCAAGTGCAGTAGTTCACATCGTAGGCCTGCTGAGTTCTGATGAAGGGATCTACAGTGTACGGTGACTGGTGAGCTTGAAGTGATCTGCAAGGGACAGCCATTTTAAAGACTGTATCTCTCAAGTTGACAAACCTTCAGGGGTTCCCTCATCTTCGTAGGTTCTCCCGCTCCCTCCCACCTATTAGCTGGGCCAGCTCCTGTTCAGTCAGCAGGCTGTAGCTGGGGTGTCTACTTCTCATGAAAAGCCTACTTCTGGCTTTTGTCTTGAACCTCTTACTGCATTCAGCTCACTGTAGCAGAAATCATGTTTATATAATTATCTTTTTTGTGAGTTCAGGACTTTAGGGCGGGGCCAATCTCTCTTAAATTCTGGATGTAGTTCTGTCTGTGTATAGTTCTGTGCGCAATTAGAAACAATATATGGCTATTAGGAAGGGTCATGAAAGACCGGGGATGAAGGTGACACTTCTTTTGCCAGGCTGATTTTCATCCTTTGCTTTCACTATTTTTTTATTTTATTTTTTGATCTTTTGGGACAGGGTTTCTGTGTAGTCCTGGAACTCATTCTGTAGACCAGACTGGTCTTGAACTCGGGCATCCACCTGCCTTTGACTCCCGAGTGTTGGGATTAAAGGCACACGTGCCACCACCAGCTTGCTTTCATTATTTCATGTAGCTTCTCTAAGACAGAATTAACCTTGGTGTCTGTGTGTGTTTTTTTTTTTTTTTTTTCTTCACCCGTGCCAAAGACGGAACGGATGTAGCTGTACCACTGAGCTACATTCCCAGCTCTCTCAGGCCTTTCTAAAACTTTCCTGCTACCCTGTCTAGCCAAGTCCTGCTAGGTGAGTTAACCTCTCTAGGGCTGTTACCTCATTGCAAAACAAAGGTATCACGAGTACCTATGAGAATCAAGCGCTCAATAAATGTGAGTTACAGCAATTATGTTTACTAGTTCTTTTTCAAGATTTTCAAGCACCTTTCCACTTTCCCATCCTCCTCTCTCTCCACTTGAGCTGCTGTCCACACCTGCCACGTGGGACTCACCCTAGACCCACCCATACCTCCTTCCTAAATCCTGATTTTAAAATGACATATCCTCTTTCAATTAGGAAGTTAACCAACCAAAAAAACAAAAACCTCACTGTACATCTCGGGCTTGGAGTTATGCAAAAATACTCGTATGAATTAAGAGCGATCACCCCAAGTGACTCTATAGCGTCCTTTCGCTGCAGACCACTCCTGCGGTCCCCGCCCCGGCCGGGCCCGCACCGGGATCCCCGGGGCCCGTGCTCGGCCGCTTCCGGTGGGGCCTGCGCTCTGGGCGGCGGCTCGCGCGCTCATCTCGCCGGGCGGCCTCATGCAGGCTGAGCGCGGGGCTCGGGGTGGCCGCGGGCGGCGGGGCGGTCGGGACCGGCCCGGAGGGGACCGAGAGCGGGCCGGAGCCGCGGCGGCGCTGGCGAGAGGAGGCGGCGGGGACGGAGGCGGCCGGCGGGGTCGAGGCCGGGGCTTCCGCGGAGGCCGAGGAGGCGGCGCCCCGCGAGGCGGCCGCCGGGAGCCTGGAGGCCGAGGCGGCGGAGCTGGCACACGGGTAAGGGGTGCGGATGGCTGCGGCAGCCAGCCGGCGTGCAGGACGCGCGCGCGAGCCACGGCGCCTGCGCGGGACGGAGCCGGGGGGGGGGGGGGCGCGCGTGGACGGTGCACGCGCAGGCCCCCGGCTGCTGGCGGTCCAACGACTGGGCGACCGACCGGCCTCCGGGTTGTGCTGGCGCCGGGGTCCCGGGGTCTGAGGGTGTCCGGGCTACCGCGCGCTGTCACTGAAATTAACCCCCCTCCCCGCTGCGGCGCGGGCCCGGAGAGGTTTCTCCCTGGGTGCATGAACCCAAACAGATTTACTCAGAGAGGTGTTCCTCTATCCAGTGTTTCCTTTATCCCATCCCAACATTGCCTAGGTGACAGTCTCTGTGGTCATCTACATCTGGATGAAGGGACGTGTGGAAGATTATGTCTTCATTTTGGTTTGGATTGGTGATCTCTAAGATCCTTTCCACTCTTCAGATTCATATTTCGTCTTGCTAAGAATACTGTTAGGGCTACCTAAAGACTGACCAACCTTCCTGAGGCCTCTCTGTTCTCATTATCTTGTGGTGGGCACGTTGGTGCCTTAAATCAGGATTAACTGCAGAGCTCTGAAAGCTAAACAATCAATAGAGTTTTGGCCGCCTGTGCAGGGATCCCACACAGTGTACATCCTTTTGCTTTGCCTCTGGATGACTAGAAACAACTTCTAGATATGTACTACTCCAAAGTAACTTATTTGGGAATCAAGAGGCTACGAAACCCTTCCTTCTTAGGATGGGTGGTATGAGCCCTGAGCTTACTAACTTTGATAACCAAATCCTCAGGCCGGTCATCTTCACTGAATACCTAGCTGAAACATGACACTATCCTTGATTCAGTCATTAACTTCATAAAATGCGAGGCCTTGTTTAGTATTTATTTTTTAGAAGTATATTAGTGTGTGTGTGTGTGTGTGTGTGTGTGTGTGTGTGTGTGTGTGTGTGTGTGTGTGGTGTAGGGGTGCACATGTGTGGAGGTCAGAAGACACCTTCTGGAGTCTATTCTCTCTTTGCACCATGGGTTACCAGGACAGAACCCTGGTCATTAGGCTTGTACAACAAGCTATTGAGGTATCTTACTGGCCCCAAAATATATATTTAAATTTAAATGACACATAGTAACTATACATTTATGGGGTATCAAGTAGCATTTCAAAACATGGATACAGTGTGTGTAATGATGAGATCAGAAGAATTTGATATACCTATCATGTTAGAAATATATTACTTCTTTGTGTTGGTGTGCTGGCTAGTCTTATGTCAACTTGACATACAAGCTAGGGTTATCTGAAAAGAGGGAACTTCAATTGAGAAAATGCCTCCATAAGATCCAGCTGTTAGGCATTTTCTTAATTAGTGATTGATGGGGTAAAACCCTGCCCATTGTGGGTGGTTCCATCCCTAGGCTGGTGGTCCTGGATTCTATAAGAAAGCAGGCTGAGCAAGCCAGTAAGCAGCACCCCTCCATGGCCCCTGCATTGGCTCCTGCCTCCAGGTTCCTGCCCTGCTTGAGTTCCTGTCCTGACTTCCTTTGGTAGTGAATAGATATGGAAGTGTGAACCGAATAAACCCTTTCCTCCCCAAGTTGCTTTGGTAATGGTGTTTCATCACAACAATAGAAACCCTAAGACAGTTGGCAATATTAAAAATCCTCCAGGCTAGCTGTTGTCTAATAATTATTTTTTTCAACCATAGTTATCATACTTTGCTTTTGATCTTCAGAAATGATTCCTTCTATCCGAGTGTACTCCTGTACTCATTAACCATCTTCTTCATCCCTCCTTCCCCACACCTTTCCTACCCTCTCATAACCACTATTCCATATTTCTTTAAGATCAGCTTTTTAGTTTCCACATATAAATGAGAAAATACAGTATTTGTCTTTGTGCACCCAGCTTATTTAACTTAACATAATATCCTTTAGTTCCATCCATTTTTCTTCTAGTGACCATTTCATTCTAATGTTCTGAAGGCTGGCTGAATAATCCTTTGTGTCTATATATTCTCTCCTTTTGAAAAAAGCCCCCCTCCTTTAAAAAAAATTATATATGTATGTTTTTGTGCACATAAGTGCAGTGCTAGCAGAGACCAGAAGAGGGCAGCAGATCCTTGGAGCCCTAGTTAAAGACAGTTGTGTCCTCCAGACAAATGCTCTTAACTGCCTCTGAGTGCACCTGCACACATGGTGTATGCTTACACGCACACACACAAACATGTAAATAAAAATAAGTAAACATGAGAATGCCAATGTTTCTTATGCGTAGTGACTCCAGATCTATTGGATATGTACCTAGCAGTAGGATTGTGGAATACCTGCTTTTTTTTTTTTTTTTTTTTTTTTTTAAACATCCGTACTACTTTCTGTAATGCTGTACTAATTGATGTTCCCACAGCATAAGAGAGTTCATGTCTCTGCATCTTCCTTAGTCCTTGTTATTTTCCAAATTCCTTCTCCTCCTCTTCCTGCTCTTCTAGACTGGATCTTACTCTGTAGCCCATGCTGGCCTCAACTCAGGATCTTCTGCCTGTACTCTAAGCTATGAGATTACACAGTACTTCACCACATCTGGCTTTCTTTATTTAACTGTTTGTTTGTTTGTTGAGACATAATCTTACCATGTAGCTCAGCCTGCATCTGGTTCTCAGTTGCTGGCATCACAGGAGTGCCCCAGTTTTATTTTAACAGCTTTTTTGTTGTTTATTTGTTTGTTTTTTGCATACAAGGTCTCACTATGTAGACTTGGCTGTCCTGGAACTCACTATGTAGACCATGCAGGCCTTGAACTCAGAGATCTGCCTGCTTCTGCCTCCAGAGTGCTGGGTGGGATTGAAGATGATCTCTCACAGTAGTTTTTTTTTTTTGTTGTTGTTGTTTTTTGTTTTTGCTTTTATTGAACATTTTCTAGATACTCCTAGGCAAATAGTTTGTTCTCATGATTTTGTGCATTGAACAGTTTGAGGTCGTTATATAATTTACAGAGTCCTCTTTTGCTGGGTAAACAGTTTGCAAACATTTCCTCTCCTGTAGGCTGTTCTCATACTCTTGGTATGAGACTCAAACTCTTGGTTTCCTTAGATGTGCAATAGCTCTTTTGATGTGATCCTATTTGTCAAGGTTGCTTCTGTTGTTTGGGCTTTTGAGGTCATATCCAAAGAAAACTTTGCCCAGAGCAATGTTCTGAGATGTCTTTCCTGACAGTTTCGCAGTTTCAGGTTTTATATTTAATTCTGATTTATTTTGAGTTGGTTTTGTATATAGTTTATGTCTCTTGGGTATGGATATGTACGTGTATCCCTGGGGTTTTCTGTTCTGTTTCATTGGCTCCTCACTCTCCTTTTGGTGGTGGAACTGAACTTGGGATGGAGTGCATGCTATTAACCACATTTCAACCACCAGCTGTCTTTGTACCAGGACCATACAGCTTAGCCTGTTGCCTTTGTAGTGTGTTTTAAGGTCTGACATTGTAATGCTTAACTTTTGTTCCTCTGCTCAAGATATTCAGGGTCTTTTACAGTTTCATCCAAATTTCACGAGTGGTTGTTCTGTTTTTGTGCGGAATGTCTGGGTGTCTCAGGGGGCATCACACCGAATCTGTAGATCACTTTGGGTATTACGTGTAGTAGAATATTATTTTAAGGTGTGTTACTTTTGCTTATGTTGCATTTGTTTAACTCTGTGAAGCTGTGTTACTGTGCCTGTCTAAAACACCTGATGGTCTGATAAAGAACTGGCCAATAGCAAGGCAGGAGAAAGGATAGGCGGGGCTGGCAGGAAGAGAGAATATATGGAAGGAGAAATCTGGGAGGAAAGAAGGAGCCAGAGAAGGAAGGAGGACTCCAGGGGCCAGCCACCCAGCCTCCCAGCTACACAGCAAGCCACGGAGTAAGAAACAAAGAAAGGTATACAGGAATAGAAAAGGAAAAGCCCAGAGGCAAAAAGATAGATGGGTTAACTTAAGGAAAGCTGGCTGGAAGCTAAGCCAAGCTAAGGCTGGGCATTCATAATTAAGAATAAGCCTCCATGTGTGATTTATTTGGGAGTTGGGTGGCGGGCCCCCAACAAAAGAGCAAAAACCCCAACAACAATTATGGGAATTTGAACAGTAGTAGTTCTTCCATCTATGAACTCGGGAAGGCTCTGTGAAATCTCGTAATTTAGTGTCTTCTTCAGTTGTTTTCATTGATGTTTTATAATCATCATTGCAGATGTCAGTCACTTCTTTGGCTACATTTAGTCACATGTATTTTATTTAAAGTTTTTGCTGGTATTGGTTTCTCGATTTTTGTTCCCACTTTCCCCAATACTGTTATACTAAAAAAGCAACTACATTTTGTATGTTAATTTTGTATTCTGTAACCTTTCTGAATTTATCAGTTTTAATGTTTTTGTTAGCATTGTTTTATATATGTATTTATATAAATTATATAAATATACATAATTAATGTCATCTGCGAGTAGGGGTTACTTAACTCCCTCCTTTTCTGTTTGGATGCCCTTCTTTTGTGTTCTACAATGGCTGAGACTTTTGGAGACAAGATTGTCCTATATAACGCTGGCTGGCCTGGAACTCACTATATCAATCAAGCTGGCCTCAAACTCACAGAGATCCACCTGCCTCTGCCTCCTCAGTCCTGGGACTAAAGATGTGCACCACCACCACCTGACATGATTATTGTTTTGATGAGTAGTTAACAGGGAGGAAATTAAGGACTGTTAGCATTTCTTGGGATTCCCCCCACCCTTTTTCCTGCAGATAATAGTAAGTAGTGAACATTTATTGAACACTTAGTTATGAGACTTGCACATCGAGGCACAGCTAAGTCACTCACAGTCATGGTTAAATTACTAAGTCACAATTAAACCAAAGCTCACTGAGCCTGGATTCAACCTGGGTCTGTTGACTCCAGAGCTCGATCTTTTTATTACTTCCCTGAGCTTCTGGTACAGTTTGAAAAGAGGTGGCTCAGTGGT